TTGCCTGGATGTGCCATAGTTTATCTATTCACCTACTGAAAGATACTTTGGCTGCTTCAAATGTTGGGCAATTACAAATAAAAGTGCTATAAACATTCGTGTGCACATGAATCTTCAGCTCCTCTAGGTAAATACCCAGGAGCAAGATTGCTGAATCATATGAAGGTATGTTTTCTAAGACACTGCCAAACTGTCTTTCAAAGTTGCTGTACCATTTTGCATTCCCGCCAGCAGTGAATGTGAGTTTCTCTTGCTCTGCATCCTTGCCAGGATTTGGGATTGTCAGTGTTCCAGATTTTGGCCGTTCAGGTGTATAGTAATATTTCATTGTTTTCATTTGCATTTCCCTGATGACACATAATGCGAAGTATCAACTTGTATCCTTACTTGCCATCTTTGGCAAGGCATCTGTTCCAGTCAATTTTAAAAATTTGATTATTTTTTTTTTTTTTACTGTTGACTTTTTAAGAGATCTTTGTATATTTCGGATAACAGTCCTTTATTAGATGTGTCTTTTGCAAATATTTCCTCCCAGTCAGTGGCTTTTTTTACTCATTCTCTTGACATTGTCTTTTGCAGAGCAGAGATGTTTAATTTTAATGAAGTCCAGCTTATCAATTATTTCTTTCATGGATTCTGCCTTTGGTATTGTAACTAAAAAGTCATCACCATGCCCAAGGTCACATAGGTTTTATCCTATGCTATCGTCTAGCAGTTTTATAGTTTTGCATTTTACATTTAGGTCTGTGATCCATTTTGAGTTAACTTTTGTGAAGGGCGTAAGGCCTGTGTCCAGATCCATTGTTCCAGCACCATTTGTTGAAAATACTACCTTTGCTCCATTGTATTGCTTTTGCTCCTTTATCAAAGGTCAATTGAATACATGCAAGCCTTGTGAAGCATAGAAATACAACTGGTAGACCTAAATAGAAGACTGTCAACAGGTTGCTATCCCAGTGCCCATCAGCTCTATATTACCTAGTATCACCTTCACTTTGGGGTAAACTGTTTGTAGCCAAGAAAAGAAAATCAAACATCCTGATTTGTTACATTACAAAGATATTCCAAATATCTGTTACTTATTACAGTAAATATTCCACATGTAGTCAGACCTCCTTCAGAACTGAGGATGTATTCCCTGGAGGCTAGGGGTGCTACCAGGAGAAAGTTCTTAGATAACAGTGCCCTCTGGGGACTCAAGCTGAAGAGAGCCACTTTACCCAAGCTCACAACCACTTCCCAGGGCAGCCTGTACACAATGACTGAACAATGTGGGAATATAAGGCCCAGTCCCTTGGTCCCAATGAGGGACAACTCTGAAGGATCATCTCAGCTTCAGAATGCCTGAGGCTTTCATTGGAAATGACTGAACCTCAGTTTAACTTCTCCTGCTGCCAAATATTCTTCCATGGCTTCTTTTCTACAAATGTTGATCCCAAGAACACTCCCTAATAAATTTCCTGAATGTTGATCTCTGTGTCAGAATCTGCATCCTGGAGAACCCAACCTACAACAATTAGTAACTGAATGTCTCATTGAATGACTATCTTATTGAGAACTAAGAATGGAGATAACAGAGCTAAAATTGGAGTTCCTGGAACTAGATTGTAATGCAGGGTGCAAGAATGATAAAAAAAAAAATGACTCTAACGTCTCACTGTCTGAACAGTGGTTCCCCACCCCCTTCTCTCTGCAAGAGGGATTGTATTAATTATTGGAGAAGGGGCTGTATATTATAGGGCCCCAAATCCTTCAAGAGTTGAGCAGCAGGTAATCCTAACAACTCTGATAAATAGCTGAAACCCCAACCAGGTAGCCTAGCCCAAAAGTGATCTGATTATTTTTCCTAACAAGGCTACTTACATCTATCTTACAAATGCAGGATAGCAGAGAGAGCAAGCTTCCTACACTGCAACATAGGATCTCCCTGCCCCACGATCTCCCGTGTGTTTAGCAGACACCCTGACCTCCTCTGGTCCTTCTGAGGATGCAAAGGAGGAAGGAAGAGCGGTGCTCCTCTCTCACTGACACTGGCTTTATACAGCTTTCCTTTTCTCCGCTGTCCATGCCTTCCCCCATGCCGGTGTTGCGAAACGTATCTTGAATCTTCATGGCTGACACATGGAGGCCTGGGTGGGACTTTCCTTGTACAACAGACAGTGTGACCAAAGGCATGAATTGAGCTTAGAACCAGTTATGACTTGTTTGAAATGTCAAAAGGGGTTGATGGCTACACCAGGGATGAAAATTATCCCTGCCATGAAGAAAGTTCACTGAGAGAGCCAGTGGATGGGGTGACCATGATGTCTGAATGTCCCCAAAGCCCAAGCGAAGATAGTCTGGTGTGAGAAGTTGTCAGTGGCTGAGCAGAGCTGACTACTCACAGCAGTGACCCTGAGGGCTTCTTCACAGTTGCCAAGACAACAAGCTAAATGTTACAGGGAGTCGCATCCTCATTGGAGGAACAGCACCCATGTCAGCACCCCCTGTGACCACTGGCTATTTCTTCTGGCAGGAAGGACTGAACCTCCTAAGTGTCCCCAGGTCTCCAGGCCTTGGGCAGGCAGAGTTCACAGAAAAAGCTGCATCCCCATCCAGACAGCCTGACTCCAGGATGCCCTGGTCTTTCCCACAGTTGAGGTGAATGTACCTGGCTTTATAAAAGGGAATAAAGGGGCCAGCAAGACCACTGCTCTGTGAGATGCTGGAAGGATACCCATTTTATTCGCTGTGACCCTGGCCTCATCCATTTCCCCTTCTCCCAGTAGAGCCTACTCCCTAACTAGAGCTATAGGACATTGCAGAGTTCATCCCATATCCTGCTACATGATAAGTGAAGGCTCAGACAGGACCTACCTTGCCCCACAAAAGGTCATCTAGTACTTCTTGTAAAAATAATTTATAAGCTTAGGTATCGTTTTACCTTTTAAAACACACTCACATGCACTAACTCAGTAAGCCCCACATCAGCCTAATGAATTTGGCAAGGGACATATTATATAATCCACACAATTTTCAGAAAGAAAAACTAGAACACAAGGTTGGATAAAGGACATTTTCCTTCTTGATTTACGAAAAAAAAAATGTTACAAATACAGAAAACTTGAATCACAGCTACTTATACATGTAATAAATTATCTTTTTTTTTTAAAAAAAAAGAAAGATAAAATTAAATGAAGCTTGTACTACTACTACCACAGAAAATCCTGCAAATAACATCAGCATAATTATACAGCATGAAGTAAACCTTGCAGCTTACTTTAAAACTCCCTTTGATAAAAGCTTTAGGGAGAGAGAGGTCACATGTCAGAAGCTTAGATGAGAGGAGGTGGGAGAGTGGGAGTTAGAGTTAAGAGCAAATGATTGATAGTAGAGAACATATGAGACAGTGACTGGGATTTAAGGGAAGGCAGGGTCTCCATAGAGTCCGGAAATGCAAAAGCAACTTTACAATGTGCTCCCAATACACTGCACGATGCGGCCACCCAGGACAGCTGGGACTCCTGGGACAGTGGGGAGTTGCTCTGCCTCATCCAAAATGCCTGCTCCACTTCCCTTCCCCGTGGAGTGGGAAACCATTCAATCAAATAAGGCCCATTCACTAGACACACGTCTATCAGAGGCCCACTAGGTATATACTGGGAGTCAAACAGTATGAGCCCCAGCTTAGGAAACAGACCCACTTATTACTCCTCACACTAGAGTAGGATGGGTGATTGAAATGGGATTTTGAGCCTTAAATTTTTAAAAAAATAATTATTGGTTAATTCATTTTCTTTTCATTGGTTGAAACCTGCACCATCTGCATGTTCAGGATTCCATTGGAGACTTAGGTGCATAACATTTTATTCCTAGAACTAAAACCAAAGCACCTAGAGAAGCTGGAATAATTATTGAATTTTTTTAAAAAATTGAATTTATTGGGGGTGGCACTGGTTCATAAAACCATGCAGGTGTCAAGTGTACAACTCAACAAAACATCATCTGCACACTGCATCCTGCACCCATTGCCCGAAGCAAAGTCTCTTTCCATCCCCATTTAGCTCCCTTTTACGCACCTCCCCCTTCACCCCCCTCCTCTTTCCCTGTGGCTATCACCACACTGCTGAGTGTCTCTATGTGTTATCTAGTCGCACTATGAAGTGCATGAGTAATGACTGCTTTATCTGAGAATCAGCCAACAGCGCACTATCCACATAGCTGCATATAACGGCTGCTTCTTGGGTAGGGGGATCGGCCCGCTGAGTCAGTCTTACCACAGAATTAAGAAGGGACATGAGTTTTATTTGTGCTGATTCTAGAGCTCCCTGAACTGTACCTTGATTTTTGAACTGCAATAATGTGTCACCAAGAGGCTAAGCAGCAGGGCCTGAGTTTGGTAATGCTTTACATAGACTCACTGGTCCTTAAAAGTAGAAGGGAGCCCAGAGACTGCCTACCCTGGCCTTCACACGGCACAGGAAACCCTTCCCGGAAGGTTTGCCGAGTCGGCACACACAGGAGGTAGAGTTTCATGGCTTCTGCCGTTTGCACTGAAGGGATCTACTTTGGTACAAACACTGTCGCACATTGCATCCTCAGAAGAGCGCAGCCACAGGGGGTCTTTCCGGGGTACAAAGCTACTTCTAGAAACCCTGGAAAGCCCCCATGCCACCTCTATGTAGGACCTGCTCATAAAGCAGGTATTTGCTAGCTTTAATTTTTGTAAACTCTCAAGTGAATTAGGCTAAATATCCCCGCGCTTTATTCATAATTGCTACAGTAGGTAATTTGTGGCTGCGGTAACAGTAATTTAGAGTCATTAATGAAAATGAAGTCTAATTTAAAAAAACAAAACAAAACCCAGACATGTAAATTCAGGCTGAGGTAAAAACACAGAATATCACGGGTGAATTCTATGTTTTCTTTTTCCGCCCTAAAAGACAAATATTACTTGGATTGCAATAAGAAAACAGTACATCGTCACACACAGTCTCATGGTGTCCTTTCATTGCACGTACCTGCAGCCCTTCGATGGCCAGTCTGAGAATGGAAGGTGTCAGCTTGGAGGCTTGTTTGAAGGAAAAATTGCTCCAGTCTATGATTAAAAGGAACCCGTTGATCTGAAGCTCCGGATCTTCAATGAGGACTTCCAGGGACAGCAGGATGGCCCGCAGGATGTCCGTGAAGGAGTTCCTGCAGCCAGAGCAGAGAGGAGAGGCTGTGCGTGAATATGAGCAGGCGATCGCACTTTGCTGGGGGCCCTCGGGCCTCCTCACTCCACTGCTGCCTGAGCCCCGCCTGCAGGGTAACATCAGTGTGGTTTGTACCCCAAGTGACCAAAAACGCATTTGCTAAACTTCCCAGGAAAAGGCTCCAAGACTCAGGATGGAAGCCTCCCTGTGATCTGACTACACCAGGACCCCAAACTTTAAGAGGCGTGGCTCTTTTGGTTTCCAGGAGTCTCTAGACTCTGCTTATACCACAGCCCTGATTGTCTTTCATGGAAATGCATCCCTTGCTTCTCTATTCCCACACACAGTTCTAATCTCTTTCAGGGAAGAGACGGGGGCCATAATCATAGTTGTGTCCAGGTACCTGGCTACTCAATGAATCATTGTCGAACAACAATGAATCATTGAGACCTTAATCAGAGGTGCTTATTTTGATTAAACCTCTTATTCCTTTTGTTTGTTTGTAAAATCTTGCTAAAAATGTAAAAACAGCCATATAGTTGGTGCTATTTTTTAGATGCAATTCATGGAGGAGAGAAAAATAAATCGTGAAGAATAGCTTATTTTCACTGACAGGGAGTGCTTCGGGAAGGAAATTGCTTTGAGTCCATCGGTAACTATGACAACAAGAGACCTGAATACAAAGGAGAGTGACAGTTCTCTGGTGTTGCATGTGGTCCTTCACATCCTATATTCCCATTCACTAGTTGGTTTTTATCTTAAATAATCTTCAGACATGAAGAAATGATAGCATATTCACTCTTCTACTCCCAACACATTATTGGAACTACAAACTTAGAGGATTCAGCATCCTTTTAATTAATGTATTTGTTTGTTTTTTTGGTGTGTTTTTTTTTTAGTAAGTAGGAAAATAAATATAACCTCGATGACAAAACATGTTACTTCCGTTGGGCTATCATTAAAACCAGAAACCATATCCTTTTGTGATATCAATGTGAAGTGATCCGATTCTTGAGCATTTAAATCTGGTTTGAATTCTAACCAAGTCTAGTGATTCCAGATTTCAAAACAGGAAATCCATGATCAAACAGTAAACTAGTAAAAACTTACTGAATGCTTATTATAAGCTCAGCATTATCTTTCATACTTGAACTCTTAAAATAGTATGTTATATTTCTACTTCCAAAGAGCCCTTAATTTAGTTGGGATGGGGTAGATTAGCCAGATAAATTGAAAGGGATCAATACAATTTGAGTAGTCAGGGAAGAGTTTATGGAGGGATGAAGGCTTGGGATAAGTCTTGAAAGATAGATAGGATTTTGATAAATTATTGGGAGGGAGGAAGACATATTAGGAGTGACACAAGTGAAAAATAAAGATATCAGCTCATTCTGTTTCTGTACAGTTCTTTCTACTAAAAATTTATTCAGTATATCAAGCTGACATTTTCTTCCCTTAAACCCACCTATTGGGTGTGGTTCTATTAAAAAGATAAAAACCTCAGGTCTTTCATACCACACACTTTCAATGATCTAAATGTAGTGGTCATGACACCCATATAATCTCCAGACTAAAGAAATTATTAATAACTTTAACCATTTCTCATAGGAAATGGTTTTACTACTCATCATTTTTGTTTTCTTTCATTTATATTCTCTTTCAAGCTTTAGGGATGTCAAATTCCTATTAATGTAGGATAAAGTTTTCATGAGGGCTTTGGATTTTGTTTTGAATTCATATCAAACATGATCTAAAGACCCAACTCCTTTTTAGAGATACGGTTTTGTATTGGAAAGAAAACATTGACTTAACAGCAGCATGGGACCAATGATTATGAGTTGAAGCAATTCCAAATGGAATATGGGAATGGCCAGTGGTAAACTAGAAATGATCATTAGGGAATTGAGAGCCTGATCCTGCATAAGCTTTCTTAAGAAGAGCACACACAAGGGAAAATTCATGACTGAAAGGCTAAGCCTTAGGTAAAGCCTACAGACAGTACTGAGGTTGAAGAAAGAAGAACTGAGGAAATAAAAGGTGAGAGACTCAAGACAGTATTGTGTTCAAACAGGGAGAGTGTTTTAAGAAATAAGTATATGATAAATTACATTACTGACCCAAATTCTTCACTTTTCTGAGCATCCACAACTAGCTATGTGTTGACCTCTTTGACAATAGAGTGTACTTTCCATCCCATAGCCACATGACTTGATATTACTGATAGCAGAAAAGCCAGTGTGCCAATTCTGAGTCTAGCTCTTAAAAATTGCAGATGTTGCTAACTGTTCTCTTGTCTTCTGCTATTGCCATGGTAAAAGCATGCTACAGCTAGCATCAACTGAAGAGAAGGATGAAAAACACAGAAAACTAGCAGATCTTCATAAGAAAGAGAACCACCCAGATGAACCCAGCCTACATAAACTCCAGCTGTCCCACAAATGTGTGAGCAGTAATCAATTATTGTTTTTTTAAGCCACTGGATTAGGGGATGGTTTGTTACACAGCAACAACTACCTAATACCAGAGGCTAGATTACCAAGTCAAATAAATACAACATGAAGATTTAGGAGAACAAGAAAAGAAAAAGTGCCATTGCATTAGGTAACAAGTAAATCTTTGGAGAATTTTGAGACAGCACTTTTAGTTGAATGGTGAAGATGGAAATCATTGATTATAAAGATTTTTAGAAAATCACTTAATCACTATCTCATTTTACTCCTATATAAATGAGAGATAGCACCTCTTCCCATCACAAATCCACCTGTATACATTCCCAAGACATTCTTCCTGGAAACTATGCATTTTCAAGATCCCAGAAATCCTTTGGTCTGGCCCTGCCAAGGCACTAGGGGTGAGTTAATTAAATGTTTTACCAAATATAGCAGGCTAATATTTAAGTTGATAATTTTGTATAGCCAGCAAATGATTTTATAAATATCCAAATGGCCCTCGGCAGAAAAAAGGTTCCCCACCCCTGCAGGAGTTATGCAAAATGACCTTATGAAGGAGCTTTGTGAATTGGAAAGCATATCCCAACAGGAGCCAATATTTGTACTGTCACGGATTAGTGGTATACACCTCTTGGTTGTACTTCTTCATGATGGTAATGACAGCAGGACAATGGGAAATGTGCAAAATGCAATTGTGTTCTGTTTTGATAAACCTATTTTTTTCCTATTCTAAGGCTGAGAGTCTCAGGGAAAATGGTCTGGAAGGGGAATTCTGGTGATATATTTTCCACCAGAAAAAATATATCCTATATATCTAATAATTCCTATGTGAATCAGGTTTTAGCTGGATGGTCTCTCCATGTGCACCTGGGCAAATGAATCCATATTTCTCAAAGGGGTAATCCAGGAAAAGTAAAAAAAAAATAAAAAAAAAAAATACTTGTGTTCTGAAAATATTAGATGCATAGAAGATGCTAATAAAAATGTTTAGCTTTGCTGTTGTAGAATTAATATTTGTAGGAGCTTAATATTAAGTTTACTACTTAATGTTAGCTGGAAAGTCAAACTAGACAATTACTTTTCTCAGCAGGGACGATCACTGAGAGAACAGAAGCCTGGGATTTAACTCTGCATTCACATGGTTTGATAGGCCCGTAATGTCAAGAGGAGAAAGAAAGAATGGAAAGAGGAAGAAAGAATGAATGGGGGCGGGGGTAGGTTGGGGGGAGAGAGGCAGGAGAAACCAAAACCTTGCACTTAATTTTTTATTTCCATTAATTTTATCCTATTCTGGTTTATAAAGAAAACTTTTGGATTTATGTTAACCTAAGAATATAATTCCTTGTAACATCAGAATAAAGGAGTTGCCTATTGATTTATTTATTATTAGTTGCAATATGGGCATATTTGGCTCTCAGCCTCAGCATCAGAAAGAAGAAATAATGATTTTAATACTATTTAAACATCTTTTGTTTGTTTGTTTTCCAGAAACATTATTTATTTATTTTTCTTTATTGATTAAGATATTACAAATGTGTCCTTATCCCCCCAATATCCTCTCATCCCCCCAATCCTGCCCTCACCCTATTTAAACATCTTATAACATGCAAGGCCCAGTCCCTATGTGTGAAATTTTCAATAAGGAGCAAGCCACATCATATCATCCTCTCTGAATTTTTGGTTCAGTGTAGATCACAGAACCTTAACTAAAATGGGTATAGTTTACAAAAACAAGTACTGTCATTTCAAATTTTTGTCTATCTCTACCCAGTATGGGAAGAGTATGGAGTCCAACCCACCTTCAACTCAACCATAAGCTTATTGAGGACAGAACACAAAGGGTAATGCTCTGAACAATGTCCTGGTTTTGAACTAGACTACAGAAAACAGCAGGACAATGATTTCTCACTCAAGTAAAGCATGAAGATAAGAGGCTGTGTCTCTGTAGACCAATCCTGACAGGCCTACTCATCTCTGGATAGAGACACAAGAACAGAAAGTATTTGTATCCATCATTCAAAATGACACAGACACTAATGCTATCAAATTTCAATTTGCCAAGTTCTTTCTTGTTTATATATCTTGATGAACAAAAATGTAATGTGTGTGTGTGTGTGTGTGTGTGTGTGTGTGTGTGTGTGTATATATATATATATATATATATATATATATATTTCACCATTTAGAATTTCCTCCGTTCAGTTTTTGTTTGTTTTATTTTATTTATTTATTTTTTAAATATATTTTATTGATTTTTCACAGAGAGGAAGGGAGAGAGACAGAAGGTCAGAAACATCGATGAGAGAGAAACATTGATCAGCTGCCTCCTGCACATCTCCCACTGGGATGTGCCCGCAACCCAGGTACATGCCCCTGGCTGGAATCGAACCTGGGACCTTTCAGTCCGCAGGCCGACGCTCTATCCACTGAGCCAAACCGGTTTCGGCTGTTTGTTTGTTTTAAATGAAAAGACAGTTTGATAGATAAAACCAATATTTTGGTCCACCTGCTTCTAAATTTTCCCAAGAATTAAAAATAATAAAATTAATGC